CTTGACCATACAACAGCCTATCCAAGTCAGCTTAGCCTCCTAGCATCTTCCCCAACTTGCATTCCAATCTAGTTTTGTGTAGTCAAATCATATTACAATTGGTCGCTGCATCAAAAGCATTTATATAGTTAGTGAACAGCTGTGGCTTCAACACTGACACTTGTGATAGCCCACTGGTGAAAATTATCTGTCTCTTCCTGTTGTCTGTTTGTGTCTGTTACGCTAGTATAGACTGAAAAATGGTTATTACCCCAAATACCATGCGCACTAATTTTGTTTATTAGCCATCCAATTGGAACTTCTATTAAAAAGTTTCTGAAAATCCAAGTACTCACCAATCTAATTCCCTTTTGTGCTAAAATTAAGTTTTGCAAAAAAACTCCTGCAGTTTTGTGAAACATTATTTCCCTTTCATAAATCCGGTGACTCTTCCCAATTTTGCCATTCCTTTCAGTGTCCAGTTAAAATTTTATTATTGATTTCAACATTTTCCATGCCACTGATTTCAAACTAACAGGTCTTAGTTTTCTTTTCTTGCTCTCCCTTTTTAAATTTGCTACTTCCCTGCCTGCAGGAATTTGTAGAATAATGAAAGATAATCACCAACGCATCTGTCAACTCTGTAGCAATCTCCATCATGCCCTGGGATTTAGTTCAGTGGTCCAGCGATTTTAGAACTTTAATCCCATTAATTTTTCAAGAACTACCTCTTCACTAATATTAATTTCTTTCAATGCTTCAGTTTCACAAGTACCTTGGTTACCTGTTTTCTGGGAAATTTCCTGTATCATCATCAATGAGGACAGGTAAAGCAATTGTTTCGCTTTTATACTATTTTCCTGTTCTCCTACAAATTGTACTGCCCATCTGTAATTGGTTGACATTTGTCCTAGCTGTTCTTTTTTCTTTGTAACATATCTAAAGAAGCTTTTACGGTTCACCATTGTTTCTCACCAGCTTGCATTCCATATTCCCTTTTCTCTTTCTTTTTCGGTTTCTAATTCTCATTTGCTGGCTTCTAAATTGCTCCAAATCCTGTGGTTTCCTCTTTTTGTAGCTTCCTTCTAAGTATTTTATTTGACCCATATAATCTTTAATTTCTTTTGTTAGCTACAGTTGATTTACCTTTCCCAATGTGCGTTTGTCTCCTTCATATTCCCTAAATCTGCTTTCAGAACCCTCCCTCCCTTTGGTGTAGTGACGACTGTGACCTTTGGCTTTTCACCATCCCCTAGGAAAATATCCTGCATCTGCTCTGAGACATCCTTGACCCTGACAATGGGGAGGCAATATACTATCGTAGAGATGAGTCTACAGCCACAGAAATGCCAGCTGGTTCTGCTAACTATCAAGACAGCTCTTCCTTTCTCTTCCTCTCCGCCTTTTTTACTGCTGAGCCACCTATGATGGCACTGACTTGTCTCTAACTGCACGCTCCTGTGGAACTATTGTTCTCGCCAATATCCAAAATACAAAACCAACTATCAAGTAAGAACTTCTGTGAAATTCCTATGCTACCTGCCTGTTTCCCTTAAACTACCTAGCAGTCATCCATTGTGTATCTGTCTGCACAGATAATCTGTGCTGTCACTACCTTCCTAAACATTCTGTACTTTTGTTTTGTGGGCACAGTACAGTGACTCCAGCTGACGCTAGAGCTCTGAGACCTGGAGCTCAAGCCTGTGCAACCAGTGATTTTTCCTGCAGATATGTTTGAGGTATGTGGTGTGCCCATGATTTCCCACATTCCACTGGGTAGACCTGTCCTGCCATATGCTGACATTATAGAATATTTATTAGAAATAGAATAGCTTACCATTTATTCATCAACTAGCTAATACCACATTGTGACAGAAGCCAAATACTGGCGAGTGGAAAAAAAAAGAAAATGGAGCATAGGGAATGATGAATGAATGATAAATAAAATGAATTTTAAAAACCAAGAACTGTGGAAGAAATTGCTGCACTTTTTTCAAAAGGAAGCTACCAGTACCCATTGATTGGTCTATGGATTGATGACCAGTTGTTGATGACAAAGATCTTCTGCCTGCCAACAACTGTGTGATTCATTCTCAGAAAGCTTAACAGTATGTGGGTGTGAACAAGATAGCCAGAAGTCTTCAGACCTCCAGAATGTGGGGGTGTCTGCCTTTCTGCAGTAAAAAAAACTTAAAGCCTAAAGAGAGACATTGATTACAAGCAACAGCTTATAATAAGACAGACTTCATAAGTTGTAAAACTAGCCGTTCTGTGCCCCCTTTGTGAAAGTGCCTGAAGAGCGAGAGATGGTCAAACAGCAAGATCTGACAAACCAAGAAGATCATATCTGCTAACACTGTGAGGCATTGCACTGTCCTCCTAGTTTTCCCTCCACCTATAACATGAATATTTTTTCTGTCTGTCTGAATGGGTTTTTAGGAGGAGTTTTATAAAGGGATTAGAGTTTTAGTTCGTAGAGTTGTATGTTGACAGTTCATAATTATTTACCTGTAATTAGAATCTGTTTATTTGTAATAAACCATATTTGTTGTTAAATACAGAATCCTGGTCAACTTGGGTCTTAAAACAGGTAAAATGGGGAATTCTGTGTACTTTTGAATTTTTAGCTTTTGTGATGACTTTGGGGATAACGGGGCTTTATTTCCAGCTTATTACCCTGGTGTGGCATAACTGTTGGCGAAGTACCATTCTCCAGAATAGGATATGGTTTGCTGTTTATCTGTTTGTCTTTGCGTTAAGCATAGACATATGGAATTTTAATATTATTACAAACTTGAGCTGAGTTCAGATATGTAATTACATGTAAAAGAGATATCTGAACTCACAAGCATTGAACCCAGATTGTGCTGAAAGATCAGATGCTTTTTGATGCCATTATCAGGTGGGCAACTCAATTCTCTTTTGTGTTGTTCTTAATGAAAATTGAATGATTTACTTACTAGGATGATTTGAGCTCTTTGTCCATATAGTTTGTTTGATAGTGACTTCCATTGTACAAACAATTGTATGTATATCAAAGAAAAACAAGCTGTGATGTGAAAAAATGTCTTAGCTTCAGAGGTTTCTGTCTGCACGACAGAGATCTGAACATAGTTGTTGCAATAAATTGTCATAGAATTGTTCGATTGCTTCTAAACAATTTCATTCAGTCATTATTCACTTGTTTGCTTCTGTATGTCAAGGATGAAAATTAAAAGTTGTACTTTTGTTGATTCTGGTGCTTACAATGCAGCACAAGTCTTCGAAGACAAGCTAAATCAAATTACTCTTCAGTTTTACAGTAGCATTGCTTTCTAAGTCACTTCAGTAACTTTTTCACGTGAATGAAATTACTTTCATTTCTGTAGCACAATTCATAATCTCAGGATGTCTAAAATATCCTGACTGGGAAGTCTCTAAAATCACCATCATCTTGAGAGCAATTAGGAATGAGCAATGAATGCTGACCTTTCAAGTGGTACTCATGAAGATTGCAAGCAGTCTGGTTTGGCTCCTCAATGACTGTTGTGGGAGCAGAGTTTTTTGTAGGAATTGAATGACGACTTTTGTCTTTATTTTTATTTAGACCTGGCCAAAATTTATTTTTCAACTTCTTCTGACAAGATGAATGGGATAGCATCTCACTGTGATTTTTCTGCCTGTCCTATGTAGTGGTGCCTACGTTTGGAAAGTAATCGGTTGTAAAATACTTAAGGGTATCTGAAAGATATGAAAGGCATTATTTGAATGCAGTATAGGAAGCTGTTGTGGTGCACTGATAATGTCACCACCTCTGGGTCAGAAGGTCTGCTTTCAAGTCCCATCTGCTCCAGAGGTGTTAAACGTCTGAACAGGTTGATTAAAAATATCTTTTTTAATTTTGCTGTTTTCCAACTTGGAAGTTGTTCAATTGGAAAATGACTTGTTTATTCTTTTAATATTTGTGATCTTCCAGTACTGAAGGAGTTAAGTTAATGACTAAATCGATCCAGGATATGATGCAATTTGTGCCCTGTTGTAAAATGAGTTTATTTTCCAGACTGAAATATAGTAGCCCTGTGGGATAGCGCACACATTGTTGTTTTTATGCATCTATTCATAATTGCCCTATGCTTTATTCAGCTTTGTGTCAAAAGTTAATAGTGAATTAATTGAAAGAACAGACTTTTCCATTTACTTCTCTTTGCAAAGCTGTTGTTCATTGTGACAGTTGATCCCAGAGTTATTTTGTTTATTCTAACTCCCCATTGTATACTGGGCAGGGTTTATTTGTGCTGTAATTTAGTTCTGAAGTGAAAATGCCATCACACTAAGTGTTATTAAAATCCAGCTCTGATAAAGAGAGGGATGTTGCAGGAAGGCAAGGATTTTCATCAATCTCTTGTAGGATGAGCCTGTTTGTTAAACAGGTTACTGGAGAAAGACGTGTTATTGTGAAACAAGTTTGTTGCCAACACCCTGGAGCAAAATGGTGGTGGAATCCAGCTGGCTGACTCCGTGGCAGCTGGTCAGAATTTGTTTTATATCTGTTTTCTACTTACATTACTTTCCCATATCTTCACTGCTATTTAAAATTGAGAAAATGACAAAAATCGATCAGAAACAGCATGAATTGAACAGGTTAGCCCTTAAAAAATTCCAGAGGTTAACCAGTTAACTTTGTCAGGTAGCAAAGTCCTCGAGCAAGCCACAGCTAAATGAAGTACGTAGCAGAGATTTTTCCCCCCCTTCTTTGGAGTGAGGGCTTGGCGTCTCTTGTTTAAAGTTTACTTTTCTGAACCCAAGAGGGATCAGTGGTGGTGGTGAATAATTTATCATCACCATGAATGGGCTCATTAGGTGCTTTTTCAGACTTTAAATGAGTTTTGTGGTTGTCATTATATGAGCCTTCTGTTTGGTTGAAATGACCGTTTGGCAGTATCCTTGCTTGAAACAGGGGCAGCCTGCCTCCTTTTATTCGAGGATTTGCAGTTGTGTTTTGCTAAGGTTGTTTGGAATATACAGCTAAGCTGTTCTTGCTCTGCAGCCCTGTTTAAGAACACTAGCAGTGTAAGTAGTAAAAATTTTGTAAGATTTCTTTAGAAATGAATTCACCACTTTTTCATTTAGTTTTTTCCAGTATTGAGGAGGGTGAGCGGGAGAATAATCACTTGATTTTTGTAAATTACTTTCTAACAAATGATCAGTTGTGATCAAAGTTGTAGGATTAAATATTTGTGGAATTTGACCAGTTAACTTATTGCCAGGCTTACTGTGTTTAATGAAGTCACTTTCTGAGTGCTGAGTGGAGCAGTCATTTTGACTGTAAATACTAATATCCAGATATGTTAGATTACATGTACAGATAGCATGCAAATCTGTATATATAAAATTAAATTTTCATTTCAAATCTTTAATCTTCAACTTTACTAAATGCTGAAACACAGTATGATTTAAGCAAGTTGTGTATGGAGAAAATTACATGGAATTTGTGTTGTATATATGATGTCACAAAGCACTTAATTCTTCAAAAGAATAATTCATTGTCTGTAGTCACTGTTCTAATAAATGCAGCAGTGTACAAAGCAGTTCCTGCAAAAAAAAGAGAAATGTCTAGTTTGCATTTCAGATTTTGTTGAGATTTGAATTGGCCAGACCTCCAATGAGACTGTATGTTCTTCAAAATAATGTCACGTTATCATAATTATAACTGGGTATTCTTCAGGTTTAAATTTGGTTTTGACTGCAGAGAACAGAGAGACAGCTTCTGTCTTGGGAGATCTCATCACTTTTCTGTATCTTGTTGCCAGCCACAAGCTGTTCAGTTACTTCTGAGCAAATAGAACCTATCTGCTGTAGTTGGTCTGCAATCTAATCGTCAATTCCTGTTTGTTCAAACAGCTGTTTAAATGACGCTTGCCATGAGTGTCAGAATACTTGCTCTCAAAACATGCAGCAATCCTTTAGTCCTTTGTGTTTTTGGTCTGCAGTTTTTAAAAGCACAAAAATAAAAAGACTTGGTCTTTTCAGCTTTCAGTTCTGTTAGTCTTTTATTTTAGGATTTGAGGTCAAAGCAGATGAAAAAGAATTCAGCACATTAGCCTATTCAGTGATTATTACAGATAATGTAGCACATTGCTCACTTCTACTTCCTTCCAAAATTCCACAAACAGGACTGCCTGGACAGACCCATTGTCTTAGTCTGCTCCTGCCCCACAGAAGTGATCTCTTCCTACCTTGACTCAGTCTTTTCTCCCCAGTCCAGTCTCTGTCCACATACATCTGTGATTCCTCTGATGCTTTACACCAGTTTCAAAATTTTCAGTTTTCGGGCTCCAACCGTTGCCTCTTTACCATAGATGTGCAATTCCTTAACGTGTCCAACCCCCACCAGGATGGCCTTGGGGCTCTCCGCTACTTCCTGGAGCAAAGGCCTGAACTCTCCCCACCCAACACCACCCTTCTCTGAGATAACAAGGTGTAGAGCTGGATGAACACAGCAGGCCAAGCAGCATCATAGGAGCAGGAAGGCTGACGTTTTGGGCTGAGAGCCTTCTTCAGAAATAGGGGAGGGGATGGGGGTTCTGAAATAAATAGGGAGAGAGGGGGAGGCGGATAGAAGATGGATAGAGGAGAAGATAGGTAGAGAGGAAACAGACAGGTCGAAGAGGTGGGAATGGAGCCAGTAAAGGTGAGTGTAGGTGGGGAGTTAGGGAGGAGATAGGTCAGTCCAGGGAGGACGGACAGGTCAAGGAACATTTCGGAGGCTCCCTTGTCAAAGTTGGGCTCATTGGAACATATGCAACAGAGATGGGGAGCTGAGAGAATGGAATGAGGTCTTTATAGGAAGGAGGATGAGAGGATGCATAGTCCAGGTACCTGTGGGTGTCGGTGGATTTATTGTGGATATTAGCGGCCAGTCTATCCCAGAAATGGAAACAAAGATGTTGAGGAAGGGAAGGGAGGAGCCAGAGATAGACCAGGTAAAAGTGAGGGCAGGGTGAAAATTGGAAGCGAAATTGGATGAACTTTTCCAATTCCAGACAAGAGGGGGAAGCTGCACCGACGATATCATCAATATATCAGAGAAAGAGATGTAGGTGGGGGCTGGAATAAGACTGGAACAAGGAATGTTCCTTGAGGAGTCAGACATAACTGGGGCCCATGCAGGTACCCACGGCCACCCCTCTGACCTGAAGAAAATGAAAGGAGTTAAGAGAATTTGTTGAGGGTAGGGATGAGCTTGGCCAAGCAGAGGTTAGTACGGAGGAAATGGGGGTGCGGCTTGAGGTGGGAGGAAGGGGATAGGTGGGAAGGAGAACAGGTTAGGGAGGCGGGGACGAGCTGGGCTGGTTTTGGGATGCGGTAGGGGGAGGGGAGATTTTGAAGCTTGTGAAATCCTATCTCCTCCCTACCTCCCCACCTACACTCACCTTTACTGGCTCCATTCCCGCCTCTTTGACCTGTCTGTTTCCTCTCCACCTATCTTCTCCTCTATTCATCTTCTATCCGCCTCCCCCTCTCTCCCTATTTATTTCAGAACCCCCTTCCCCTCCCCCATTTCTGAAGAAGGGTCTAGGCCCGAAACTTCCTGCTCCTATGATGCTGCTTGGCCTGCTGTGTTCATTCAGCTCTACACCTTGTTATCTCAGATTCTCCAGCATCTGCAGTTCCTACTATCTCTGATACAATACCACCCTTCTCTGCTTGGCCGAGCTCATCCCTACCCTCAACAACTTCTCTTAACTCCTTTCGTTTTCTTCAGGTCAGAGGGGTGGCCGTGGGTACCTGCATGGGCCCCAGTTATGCCTGACTCTTCAAGGAACATTCCTTGTTCCAGTCTTATTCCAGCCCCCACCTACATATCTTTCTCTGATATATTGATGATATCGTCGGTGCAGTTTCCCCCTCTTGTCTGGAATTGGAAAAATTCATCCAATTTCGCTTCCAATTTTCACCCTGCCCTCACTTTTACCTGGTCTATCTCTGGCTCCTCCCTTCCCTTCCTCAACATCTTTGTTTCTGTTTCTGGGATAGACTGGCCGCTAATATCCACAATAAATTCACAGGTACCTGGACTATGCATCCTTGCATCCTCGCATCCTCCTTCCTATAAAGACCTCATTCCATTCTCTCAGCTCCCCCACCTCTGTCGCATATGTTCCGATGAACCCAACTTTGACAAGGGAGCCTCTGAAATGTTCACCACCTCCTTTGACTGAGGATTCCCGGCACCGTTGTTGACAGTACCCTCAACTGGGTCCAACCTATCTCTCGAACTTCCACCCTCACCCCCTTTCTTCCCTCCTGCAACAGAGATAGGGTTCCCCTTGTTCTTACCTACTATCCCATCAGCATCTGCATCCAGAAGACCATGAGCGGCCACTTCAGCAAGATGCTACCACCAGATACATATTCCCCTCCCCTCCCTTGCCCACCTTCTGCAGGTCCCATTACTTCTGGGACACTCTCATCCACTCTTTCTTCACTCGCGACACCCTCCCCACAGCCCAGTGGCACCTTCCCCTGCAATCGCTGAAGGTATAACACCTGGCCATTTACCTCCTCCCTCTCCACTATCGAAGGGCCTAAACAGACCTTCCAGGTGATGTAGCACTTCATCTGCAGTTCTCAGAATCGAGTCTACTGCACTCGCTGCTCACCATGTGGTCTCTTCTACATTGGGGAAACGAAGCATAGATTCGGTGACCATTTTGCAGAACATCTACGTTCTGCCCGTAAAAAATACCTTGAGCTTCCAGTTACCTGCCACTTTAACGCACTACCCTGTTCCCTGGCCAACATCTCTGTCTCAGGCTTGCTGCAGTGTTCCAGTGAAGCTCAGCAAACTGGAAGACCAACACCTCATTGTCTGCTTGGGGACCCTGCAATGCTCTAGACTCGATATAGAGTTCAATAATTTTAGGGCCTGAACTCTTCCACGTCCTAGTCTTCTACCCACACATCTAGCTTTGTTATCACATAGCCTGCCATTACACACTACCTATTGTTTGCCACAAACAGTCCCATTCACAACTATTCACCCTCCTAGCCAGATCGTTATCAACTCCTTTGTCTGTCCAACTGCTATTCTCTCTCTTTGGGCTCTATCCCCACCTATGATTTAATCCTTACCTTCCCCACCACCGCTCTCCCACCTCTTCTCCGCCCCCCGCCGCCAACCCCCAACTTCTACACACAAACTTTTCTCCGAACTACCATCAGTTCTGAGGAAGGGTCACTGGACACGAAACATTAACTCTGACCTTTCTTCACAGATCCTGCCAGACCTACTGAGCTTTTTCAGCAACTTCTGTTTTTCGAATCACGTTGCTGGACCTTAGAGATGAAAGGGCCTGCTTTGTGCTGAGTCAGCCAATCTCAGACAGAGTACCAATCTCACATATCAAGCGTGTCAGTGTTTCTTGATTCTCCCAGTTTGACCTTATTTTTAAAATGCATCCTGAGTTATTGTGAAATTTGGTTCGATTGTGAAGTTCTTATTCCTCTGAACTGTTCCTCGCAGTTAGACCAGAATGGCAACACTGTTTGCTGAAGTGGAAAACGGGCAATTGGATAGGAATATCAAGGGGAGCTGCGAGACTTGTAGAGACGTGCAACAGCAACAGTCTAACACTAGCTGTGTTTGTGTTTTATATTCCATATTTTGATGCTTCATATACCTGTTGCTCTGCTAGACCTGTAAGTCACCCAAGTTGAGCCAAGATAGTTGGTCACTTCTGCATGCAGTAACCCACGTGAAGAGCTTGTCTGAAAGGAATCACTTAGAAAAGTCATTTTACATCATGGTGAGTTAAAAGACACAAATATGTTCAGAGATAGTGCTATATGTATTGATTTTGAGATTTGCCTTTTACTTTTTGCCACCATGGTATGGATATTTCATACCGTGCAGTTTCTGTTTTTATTCTGTCTGTGTGCACACGTGTATTCTTTCATAAGTCCCCTGTCCACTTCCAGTTATAGCAGAGTTGAACTTGTTGTGACATGAGGAAGGAGACAGACAAAGCAGGAAACTACAGATCAGTTAGCTAAACATCTGTCATAGAGAAAATGTTAGAAGCTGTCATTTACAGAAGTTATAGTAGGGCACTTGGATCCGTTCAAGATAATCAGACAACTTTTTTGTAAAAGGAAGATTATGTCTGACTAATTCTTTTGATTTCTTTGAGGAGGTTACCTCTGCTATGGATAAAGGTGATGTACTATATGTGGACTTACAGAAGACATTTGACAAGGTGTCACTCCAAATATTGTGGAAAATAAATGTCATTGGTTCAGAGAGCAGCATACAGACATGGATAGAAAATTGGCAAGCTCTCTATAGGAAGCAGAGAGTAGGTGTAAATGGGTCAATTTCAGATTGGCAAGATGTAACTCGTGCTTTGCTACAGGATATGATGCTGGCATCCCAACTATTTACAATTTTTAAGAATTACCTGGATGAAGGAATGGAAGGCGTGGTTGCCACATTTGCTGATGACACAAAAATGGATAGTAAAGCAGCAGTGAAGACAACAACAGGTTACTAAGAGATATTAGTGGGTTAATTGAGAGGGCAGAGTTGTAGCAAATGGAGTTTAATGTAGGGCAAATGTAGAAATGTCAATTTTGAAAGGAAGAATAAAAAAGTTTTAGCCTCAATCGCTTTCTGTGGTAGTGAATTCCACAGACTCTCACTCTGTGGATCAAGAATTTTCTCCTCATCTCAGTTCTAAAAGTTCTACGTTCTAAAATGCTTAAATGATGACCCTTAGGTCTGGACTCCCCCACCATTGGGAACATCCTTCCTGCATCTGACCTGTCTATCCCTGTTGGAATTTTATAGATTTCTGAGACCCATCCCCCATTCTTCTAATCTCCAGTGAAATCAATCTTAACTGAAGCAATGTCTCTTCATACATCAGCTGTGCCATCCCAGGAATGAATTTAGAAAACCTTCAGTTCACGCTCTCTATAGCAAGAATATCTTTCCTCAGATAAGGAGACAAAAACTGCACACAGTATTCCAGGTGCAGGTCTCACCAATGCCCTGTATTATTGCTGCAAAACATTCTTATACTTGTACTCAAATTACTTCTCTCTTTGGTCTTTTAAAATCAGTATTGTTTCCTGTGTGTGGGGACTGGTTTGTTTTGTTAATTTTGTTATCTTCCACTCCCGTTCTAAATATTTAGACCCAAACTCTGCTGTAGTTCTGTTGGCCCTCATGTCAGCTCACCTCTTGCCTAAAAAAGAAGCACTGTCATTTTGTTCCTTTCAAGTTCCATGGCACGTAACAACCTACGAAGTATTTGCAATTGAACTGTAGCTACCATTGCCAATTAAGAAATGTAGCAAGAAATGTAGCAGCCAAGATCATATCGACAGCAAAATGATAATGATTAGCTATTGGGCCAGCGTTTGTAGTCAGTGGCACAGCAAATGTACATCTGATCTCCAAGTGTGAAATCTGGAGGGAATGACATCTTTACCATCATGTAATTACACTAACTTGTGAAGTTCTTTATTGGCTGTTCATGACAAGACATCAGAGTGAAATCGTCAGTCAAAGCAACCGTCACATTAAAGCATTTTCACAAGCACTTGATGAGCAAACACAAAAACAAAAAAATTTTAAAATTTTATTTTGTAGAGCAAATTAAAGATTAGAATGCACACATGAAGATAGAAGCTAAACTATTCTGAAACATCGTTTGTAAAAGAAAAGTTAGCTTAAAATTCCACTAATTAATCAGTTAAGAGCACTCCATTTAAGATTAGGTGTTTGGAATGTTGAACTTGAGAATTGCAGAAAAAAAGGTACATTTTATCAAACCTTTGGTCTTGCACTCATGGGGACAATTGACAAGAAATATGAAAGTGTAGGGAAAACAAAATTTTATACTGTATTAGAGATGAGTGCTGTTTGGTTGGCAAGGGGCTCCAGTTGGTACAAGCATTGTCATGAATAAAGCATTGATTAATGATGACTGACCATTAACTGCCATTTCTGCTAAGTTTTCATTGGCCAAGCCATTAACTTGAGAAATTAACAAGATGATGGCTATTGTGTATATTTTTGAGTGAACCTGATTGTGGACATGTTCTTCCTGTATGCAAAGAGCAGGACTCTGTGTACCAATACACACAGCTTCCAGCACATGCAAGTACACCACACTTCAAGCCTGACTGACCATCCTAAATTGATTATCAATATAATTCTTTGCACATTTCAGGATTATGCAGCAAATATTGTCTAATTTTGGAATTACATCTAATGTTAGACTGTGTTGAAAGTTTTGCAATTGCATACTGGTTAAGCACACTCAATACCTTGCTTGTTATGAACATTCAAAGGGGCATGTTGTTTGATATGATGTGCCAATCTTTGGAACATGTGGCCCACTTTTCTCTCATCACATTGGTAAAGCTTCTACAGACTAAAGTACACTTGCCAGACAGTCATCCCTTTCCTATCATATTGTATAAATGTTTCCACTTACATTGGGATATCCTGTTGAATGCAAGATGAAAAACTTCAGAATCACACCTTTTGTCATTTTCATGTTGCACAAAGTATTATTAGATTTTCTTGAGGAATAATGTGAGGTTTTGAGGCTACTTCACTAGATCAGCTCATGACCACAAACAAGTACCTTGTAGACTTCTGTTTGCATGTTCCTTCCTTAGCAGTTGGACCTAGACAAGCAAATGAGCTTGAACATGTGCTTCATGGCAAAAAAAGATATTGCACGGAATTAAGTTCTAACTTGTACTATTCAACATTGGCTTTGTGGAAGGTTATAAACAAAGTTTTCAAATCAATTTTTCAAGATGTACAGTGATAAAGGAGACGATATCCTTTATCCATCTTCTATCCGCCTTCCCCTCTCTCCCTATTTATTTCAGAATCCCCTTCTCCTCTCCTCTACCTGCGCTGACCCCCACCTCCTCCCCCCCCAAACCACCACCACCACCACCCCATTACGTCAGCCTTCCTGCTCCTCTGATGCTGCTTGGCCTGCTGTGTTCATCCAGCTCTACACCTTGTTATCTCAGATTCTCCAGCATCAGCAGTTCCTACTATCTTGTATTGAAGATGCCTAGCATTTAATAATGCTTGGAGGCTAAAGTTTTGAATGATTGTAGAAAAATGGATTATCTCAGGTTTTGTGGAAATACCTAGAGTGGTTTCATTAAAAGAGGTTGATGACTGATCACTGGTGGATATTGGAGATTTCTTTTTGATTAACCTTCTAAAACTCATGCAACTGTATTTTATTTTTGGTATTGCTGAAAGAAAGACTACTTTGAAGCTTTTTAACTTGCATTCATCAGGGCAATTCGTAGAAATACAAATGGAAATGGGAAGCAACACTTACTGTAGGTCCCTGCTCAGGGCCTGTTTTGAACAGTGACTGAACAGAGAGTTCTGTGGTTAGTTGATGGACTGGAAATCTGTGAGGAAGGGCCGTCTAGTTGATCTGTATTCTTGAAGAGAACACTCTTGTTGAGTTCAGGATGCAACCAATTTGTTCTTTTTAAAAAGGTAACTTGAATGAATTCCCCAATATTGTATTTCTTGAGCAAAAATTTTTGCCTTCAAGAATAGCTAATGGCCAGAAAGTATTTCGTTTTTTTATTGTGCCCCTCTGCAGGGAAAGTTTGTTCCTTTTCTCTCCGCTGAAGTGTGTGCTTGCATGTGTGTGCTTTGGGTTATTTATACTTACATTTTATCAACTGTATATGTTAACCAGTTATTGCATTTGGATTGAATGACATTTTTGATTTCATAAGAAACAAATAATTTATATTTCTTTAAAAAATTGATCATTTTATTTGGCACCTGATATAGACAAGTTAGTTAACTGGTAACTGGGAAAAGTATTTTTATTTTATGACCATGTAGTAGTGGACTAAAATGAAAGTGCAGTCCTTCAGCTTTAGTCATAACAATCTTAATCTTAAATTTTCTTTCCCAGTTTCTTTTGTTCTAATTTCACATTGGTATCTTAAGGTAGCCACAGTACGCACACAAACTTTACTAGACCCTTTGATTTCAGAAGCATTAGAGATGAACCGCATTCATTTGTTGGCATATGCAGGATTAAAGTCCCCATTGTCCTACCAGACCAAAGGGCTGCTCTCTCATTAGAGATAGATGACTGTTGATGGTTTAACCTGAGGGTCACCATGCTTCAGGCAAGGGGAGAGGTTGGGAAGGAGAGTCGTTATTGGTAACCTCAGCCAATATGGGAATTGAAACAATAGTTTGCTTGGAGCTGGGTACTGAGCCAGACCACCTGAATTCTGTATTTTGCTGCATAGACGGAAAATCGATTTAGGACCTTGTGTCGGCAACCAGGGGAGTTCCATATTTTTGTACAGTGAAGGCAGTTGTAATGTCCTGCTTACACCAATATATGACCAAATTCATTGCAGTTTTGTTAGAGTCTAAACATCTGAGTGCAAACATGTGGTTTCTGTCATCCAAATGAATTATGCCTCAAGTTTTAATTATGTAAAATGCCTAAAACAAAGTTATTTTTTCCCCGTTTCATGTGTTTTTTTTCTTTTCTATCACCGCCTCAGACAGTGTTTTGAATGCTAAATTAAGGTTACAGGAAATGTTAGGCGAAAAGTTGGCTGCAAAGTGTAAAAAAAAATTCACAGTACACTGCTAGTCAAATCCCTGTAGATTAAACTTGCAATAAGCAAATAACGCACAAACAGAGCAGTGAGTTGCTATAGCAACAGTGTAACTAAATTATTTTACTGTCATGATATAATTTTCCTGCTTAGAGGCTCAAGGGACTTGAAGTTCCATTTGTAGTCAAAGTTATTGGTGTAGATGAGACAGAGAGAGGGAGGGTGAATCCATTACTGATGTTGTATGCATCTGTCCTAACTTCTTTCTATTTTGCCTTTCATTAGGAGCCTCTGTCTAAATGGGTCCCGTCATGCCTCCCAGTAAGAAGCCAGAAGGCTCTGGAATTAGTGTTTCGAGTGGACTGAGCCAGTGTTACCCAGGAAGCTCGCTAACCAAGGCGTTCCAGGAAGTTGAGGAACTGGACATTACGAGCAGTTACTTGCCTGCCATCCGTTTGGAAAAAGTAGCCATGGAGGATGAAGAGTTGACAAACCTGAACTGGCTGCATGAGAGCAAGAACCTGCTCAAAAGTTTTGGGGACACTGTGCTTCGTAGTGTTAGCCCAGTTCAGGATATTGACGAGGATACCCCACCATCCCCTGCTCATTCTGACCAGCCATATGATGCCAAGCAGAACCCTAACTGTAAACCTCCTTATTCTTTTAGCTGCCTCATATTTATGGCTATTGAAGACTCACCCAGCAAACGCCTGCCTGTTAAGGATATATACAACTGGATCCTAGAACATTTCCCTTACTTTGCAAATGCTCCAACTGGGTGGAAAAATTCTGTTAGACACAATTTGTCATTGAATAAATGTTTCAAGAAAGTAGACAAGGACAGGAGTCAGGTGAGCTGTCCAATTGTAATGTATACTTGTTTCCATGTAAACCACTTGGAATCATTTATGATTTTGACTTTTTTTTGAAAAATGAAGTAAATATAATCTTCTACTTTTATGTGAATGGCTCTTAGAGATAATTTAAGTCACAAAGTGAGGCCTTTTGGCCCTTTGTGTGGAGGAATAAAATGTACAAAGTTGCCAAATATCCGTAAATTAAAATTGTTTAATTTTCCCAGTTAAAGATTCAAGGATAATATAGGATTGAGGTAAATAAAAACCAACCAGTTACACTAGTTCCTCTGTCTTTGCAAGGTGAAACACAAAAAGATATTCCTTAGATACACCATGCTTTGGCACCTGACCAAGTTAGGAAGATATGGTAAAACGATTCTGTTTAACTTATTCTTTAAAAAAAATGAACAATATAAAGCATCATAATGGAAAAAGGTATTTGGTCTTTGCCTTCAGCATTCTCTCTCTCCCTTTCCCATGTGTTCTTTCTCATTCCTCCTTTCTTCTATCTTTTTTTTCCTGTGTATCATCCCAAATTATATTCCTTCTCCAGTTCTTTTTTCCGATTTATATTTTTCCCCCCTCATTTTAACTATTAGTTTTTGTGATTTTTTTCATGATCTGTTTTTCTTTTGGCACATCTGCTTTTATCTTTGCATCCTGTCTCTGATTCTCTCTTTTGCTCATGAAGACCAGCAATTTTCTGTACTGTAGAATTGGTGAGAGCTAATTCTAGTGCAGCCAGAACTGAAATACTAGATGTTACCAAGCCACCATCTGGCTGCTAATGTTCTGTTGCTACTTTCTTAGACGATGCAGTAAAGTGAATGGAAAAGTAATACTTCATTTTAGATTATTATTCTGTCCCTAGAAGCAACACTGTAATATAAATGAGGTGGCATACAGTGTCCAGAGGAGGAAACATAGGAGAAAATAATTTTGATTTTCTCTTTCAAATTACACCCCTGTAAACCTATTGGGAAGTTTAAAAAAAAAATCATTATATAAAAGGTACCTTTGGAGTCTAGGGTTCTACAGTGGCATAAGTCACTGTTGGATTTTTTGGTTTATATTCTGGCTGCAGACAACCTTGGCTCTTGGAAAACAAGGTGTAGAGCTGGATGAACACAGCAGGCCAAGCAGCATCAGAGAAGCAGGAAGGCTGACGTTTTGGGCCTAGACCCTTCAGAAAAATCTTCCTGGTCCTCTGATGCTGCTTGGCCTGCTGTGTCCATCCAGCTCTACACCCTGTTATCTCAGATTCTCCAGCATCTGCAGTTCCTACTAACCTTGGCTCTTGGCTGACTCCCATGCAAACTTTCTCTTACCCTATGTGGATCACCTATCAAAGTAATAGTTGAGTTGCACATGTGTAGTTTCACTATTGTCAAAGCTGACTCACAGTGCAAATTGGCCAAATTCCATTCGAGGAAATTCACAGCAAGTATTGTGAATAACTTTATTCAACTGTGATGTATATAGGGCTTTAATTCAAATATATTTGTGTCACTCCTATATTATGTATTTCACCCTCAGATGGCTATTTTGCATTTTATATAGACCTGTAGAAACACTTGGATAGATTTTTGGCTTTGTGGTAGTGACTTGGCAGTCCATCTTTTCTATTGTAGTCAGTAGCAATAAGGTTCAGGAGAGAATGGAAACAATCCGCTGTCACCCTTTTTACGTGATTGCAAAGTCTGAATCTACCTGATGAATATTCAACTTCTTAAAGAAATTATATTTCTTTATGAAGAAAACATTATTGAAACAATTTATATTTGCACAGTTTACGTGTGCTTGTATATAAAGTAACATATACAACATCTGATTGTACCAAAATTCTACAGTAGTTAGTAACAAAATAATTGCTTACGCTAACATTTCATCTAACATTTTACTATGTAGGTCTAACTTCCTCCTTTTTGGTTCAATGTTGTTAAATAAAGAAATAAAAGGTTAGGATTTAGGGGAATGATTTAGCTTTTAATCTTGTTTTAATCTTGAAATTGTGTGAATTAAATGCAGGTAAGAATTTAAATGTTTCACTATCATATTGGTTTTGGACCAACTCCCAACTGCAGTCCATATGTCATACATCTACAAGAGGAAAGGCTAATTGGGATCAAAGTTACTGTAGCCTTTGTAATATTTTTGTCCAGCTGCTGTGAAAGCTACCCCACCCATATTTCAAAGCTGTCTCTTCAACAGTCCAATTAATTTAAAACAAACATTCATGCATCTGCGTATGTTTTAATATTGATGTTTGCAATTGCAGTGGATCTCCTTAAGCACATACTTGAATAAGTAGTTTGCTTAAATGATCAAGATATCACAACATAAATCCTGTTGCCTTTGAATGAATTCTAGGTCAGTGAAACAAATTGAATTGTCTCGACCTATGGTTTTCAAGCTTTGTGCTGAGCCTGCCATTCTCCAACTTTGAATGTTCTCTAACATGTATTTTTAATATCAGAAAATGTAACAAAAATATCCAGAACAAAAATCTGTGGATATCGTACTTTTGCTCATGTCTGTGTGGAGAAATACCCTGATCTCTCAACACCAGTTTGAAACCCATAGTGTAAACATGGAAAATTCGGGGATCCCGATTCTCTGAACTCATTAATCTCAATCTTATTGTAATACTTTCTAACCGTTCTCCCAGTCATTGACCTGGGAACTCTCTACTTCTGGAATATTTCATTTTGTGGCATATGCTGTTGTGGCTTCATTTCACCTACTGGGTTTCACCATTCCCTTAAGGCAGACTCTTGCTTACTAAGTCTTGTTGTTCAATAGACTTATTAGAAGATCTCTGTAATGCAGGTAATGCCATGGGTTGAGACAGATACAAGTTGGTTTGGGAAAGAAAATCTGAGAAATCACTTAACAGAACAGCCTAAACAAAGCTTTGCTGACACTCTCTAGCTATTTATATTAAGCAAGTTCCAGTTATTTTGTGTTAACTATTTGTCAACTCTTGACAATTAATCTGTTCCATTGTTGTTGAGACTTGCAGGATCACTTTAGCTCATAGGTGGCATTGTCTTTGTCCATTTCTGCCTCCTGTAGCAAACTGCTCTGCGTATAAAACAAAGTGAAGTGAAAATAAGTGTAACTCATACGTGTTATCTTTGACAGAGAGAATTTTACAGGAGAAACAAACTTTTGGTGTGAAAGAAAGATTGGTAGCGTTATTGATTGCTGGATCATTGCTTGAAAGGATCATATTTTGTGATACTTAAAATTAAGCCAATGTGACTGAATACTCTTAATTTTAACATCCTCTTCAATATGTGTTTTTGTCAAATGCTTACCATAGATTTATAATGTTTTATTTATTTAAGCTGTAGTTGGAGGTCAAGTGCAGAAATTTAGAACAGAAATTCTAATGAATTTAGAGATAACTAACTTGTTTTGCCACAGTGGTGGCTATAAAGCATTTAAATGCATCCATTGTTGAGCGAACCAACTCATTTTTAAGAGAAGTTGAACAATTATGGTTAAGAATTGGATATATTGATAGACAATTGAGCACACATAATATATCCTTATGCTGTTGGAGTTTGGTAAAATCATCTGTAAATCCATATAATCGTTGTCAAATGGTGTAATTTACAGTAAAGGTTGATGATTCTTCATTATATTTTGGAAAGGGGCAATAAAATTTAGGGAACTTTGAGCTGTAAATTTTACCAGAACTTTTCTCAGCACATTGGTTAGAATCTGTGATAGTGGAAAACACATGTCCTCTACAACAACAGTGTAATTTAGCCAAATGCTCACTTATTTTTTGTTCCATACTTTTTGTTGATATCTGGAACCTTGAGTGTTGGCAACCATGTCATTTTCATTGAGCATACTATCCACATCTTGTAATCTTACTAAAGCAGCGTGCTGTGCTGGCAGTGGTGCCAGATAATGATAGGTATGTTATGAACGTGGATGAAACCATTCAGCCACCTCTCATATGGAGTTTCTGCAAAGTGGTTTCATCTTGATGTTAATGTAAATTGTACAATGTCACTTGGGAATCAAGTTGGTTCCGTGGAATAGTAGTTGAGAAAGCTGTGCTGTGCTGCACCTCAGTCCTGGCTATGGTTCACACTGTGATTGTAACAAGGTCAGCCAGGTGTACATCATAGAATGAGTTCCCTGATTGGGGCTGTTAATCTGGCCCAGTCAAGGAACCCTGGCTGATGGATAAGAACAGGAGTGTCAGACCTCCTGTTCATTCTGAAAGCTGGCTCTGAGGGAGCTAGATGAGTATTGAGGACTCTCCACATGTAAATAAAGGGTGACTTGGTGACCGGATACTGGCTTGTGTGGAATTATTTCAGTGGCAACGAGAGAAAAGCACCCTCTGAACAAACTTGCTGTCAACAGTCCGTAATGGTTTTAAATTTTCTGAACACACTGCCAGCCACAGCTGCCAGTATTAGACTTTGGATGCAGAACTGCATCCTAGCAAAACTGAAACAGCTGGTGGTGATGGGGGACACCAAAGGGCCATTACTACCAGAATTGAAACCTTTATGGACCCAGAGAGACCAGATCACATAGAGGATGGCGTATTTTTATGGGGACCGTGAGTGATCGTCCGGAGCAATGGTCGCCACTGGATACTGGCTGAATTCCTCCAGGGTCGTCCAGGGGTTTCCAAAATGAAGATGTTTGTGATAAGTTGTCTGGTTACCAGAATTGGATGCAGACATAGCCGTGTTGGTTGGGCAGTGCCCAGAATGCCAAAAAGGACAAAAATTAGCACCAGCAGCTCCCCCAGATTTGTGGGAATGGCCAAGTGAACCATGACTTGGTTACACATCAACTATGCAGGTCCTTTCCTGGGTTCAGTGTTATTAGTCATTTGTGGATGCCCACCCAACGTGTCTGGACGTGTTCATTTGTCAAACATGGCGACGACGATAGAAAAACTGCGCACAACTTTTACCATACGCAGACTCCTGGTAATGGTGTCACAGACAAGGGGG